ATTTCGTTTTTCTTTATATATTAATTTCGTTTCTCTCTATTTAATGATTTCCTTTTTACTTTACTTTATAATTTCGCTTTCTACTTTTAATAATTTCGTTTTTCTTTATATATTAACTCCGTTTCTCTTTATATATTAATTTCGTTTTTCAAGTAGAAAACTGAAATTAAAATAGGGAATTTAAATATGTGCATGGTAAGGGCCTGCAGGTGTCTTAGCAGTTAATCATGGCAGACACAAAATAATCCCGGAATCTTCCCTTCCGAATCTGGCATTTTTATACGAGACTGAAGCTGAATTTTTTTTTATGAGATGAAAAACAACATGTAAACTTCCTGTATTGACTAGATTTATTAAAATTTAGGGCGTGCTGAACACCTGCTCGACTTCGACCAAAACAAACTTGTGTGCCTTGCTGGATGGCTATGTATTTTTTGGTACTAAAATCTTTATAAAGAATGGTTTTACAAGATCTGAAAAGGAATCTTCTGAGAAGTTTGTTTTGAATTAATTACACCTTCTTCAACTTGCGCATTTTTGATAAAAATATAAAGCAGGATGTAATATTGTTGTGCAACATGAACCCATGAATCATTCCATAAAGCGCACATGCTATAAAGCATCACCTCGTAGTAACTCTTTACGCCTTATATCGACATTACAAATGTGTAGTGGAAATGAAAAATTAAAGATCATATAAATGTCAAATTAACAAACGTAGAAAAAATATGTACACACGGCCGAAAATTCCCATTTCCGTAAACATTTCATAAACTATTCAATTTTTTTTTATATGTTGTGTCATATCCCCACATCATTGTTGGAGTTTGTAAGCCTGGACTTAGCGAGGGTGGCTGTTTCTGTTTGCACAGAATTAATGACATTCTAATAAAGCTCATGAATCGCGAGAAGGTCATGATCAAGATCTTGAGTATAGTATTACTGAATTCCCTCCAACTTAACCTAGCATCCTATCTATGTAATACCGGGTATAAATCATAGGTTGTTGAAACTATAAAGAGAAAATTGATTTGATTATTTTGTTGGATTTGTTTTGTGCAAGTGTGAGCATTGTTTGGTCACAAATATAACTGAATTATAAATACAGATTGAGGGTTTGTCATTCAGAATATGTGAATGAAGTACTATAGTAGTCATGTAGTATCACTTACACGAATAGTACAGACTGAGAGTTTGACATTCATTAAGACCAAGAAATCAGAAGTGTTTTGCTTTTTTTCTAATATAGTAAGCAATCATTAAATTCTACTTATTGTAACCACTTTGACTTGTTTTAAGTTTTGCACTTGTTATCTTAAAACATTTTTTTACAATGTCAAACAAACCCACAAAGTCCGATATTACGTATTATTTTACGGTATTTTCTAATTCATATACTGTAAAGCCATGGGGATTTCATCAATGTTAAAAATGCAACAGTACATGTTGTAAATAACGGAATCTTAACCTTCATGTTTATCTTAAATATTTGTGAAATTTTATTAGGATAATCTCTTTAATGTTTCAAATCCAAAGTGATTATTTATGTGTCCAGATTCATTGCTGATCATTAGACTTTCGAGCATTTGTTCAACCAATTGTTAACGTCAACATGTCACCGAATTAATCACTGGCCAAATTATGAGACTGGCCTAAGTTCACATTCATCGTGTTATTGTAAGATAAAAACATAAATCTAAGCATATTACTATTAGATACCAAAGGTTAAATTCTCCCCCATTCAATTTTTGTAATGGTTATGCCTTGATTTGGGAGTCGGTGAGTGCAAAGGCAAACATCACACTTGTAAATTGTCGAAACAAAATCAAGTCTAACAGACGCGTGCGCTAATGATTTATGGGTTCAGGCCCTTACCTTGCACATCTCTAAATTTCTTTATTTTAGTTTCAGTTTTCTATTTAAAAAACGAAATTAATATATAAAGAAAAAACGAAATTATTAAAAGTAGAAAACGAAATTATTAAATAAAGAAAACGAAATCATTAAATAAAGAAAACAAAATGAAGTATGTAATAATTTCGTTTTTCTTTATATATTAATTTCGTGTTTCTTTATATATGAATTTCGTTTTTCTTTATTTAATAATTTTGTTTCTCTTTATTTAATAATTACATTTTCTAGATGTATTAATTTCGTTTCTCTTTATATATTAATTTCGTTTTTCTTTATTTAATAATTTCGTTTTTCTTTTTTTTTTTTAATAATTTCGTTTTTATTTACTTATTTTTGGTTTGCACTATTAGGTTTCGGTATTGCGCAGAACAAAACTTTAGGTCAAGGTTAGGGTGAAGGCTGTTTGAGTAAAGTTTGACCAATCGAAATTCGATAGAGTAATATTAAAAGGAAAACCTATAAGATCACACTTATACATAGTAGTCTTGCATAAAGAAATACAGCCATATGAATGGTGACAAAAATGATTCAACATCGGATTGATCTCTACGTATTGAAGGAAAAAATATTTTTTCAACGTAAAATATTTAAGTACACATATACCATTTTTATTGTTAAGCAAACTTTATTTTCTATCACCCATATAGAAAACTTAATAATGCAATAGCATTCAAGTATCTTTTTTTTAATTTATAGATGCAATACACATTTTATAAGTACGGACTGCGTTCATATTGGCGTTTAATGTCTTTTCAAATAATTTTTTTACACCTTTTAACCTTTTTATTATGTTCTATTTTCATTTACGTAATGTTAAGACTTCTTTATACGAAACTGAGGTCTGAAATCTATAGATTGAGGTTAATATCAAATTCAAACTGTGCTGGTTTGTAGTGAAAAAACACTCAATAAATAATTGATTTAAAAAACAGAATAATGACTATGCACTTGGGCATGACAATCTGAATATTTTAAACTGATCCTCGGGGTTAACTTAAAAGATAAATCTTTTATTTTGGTTATCTGGTAATTAAAAATGATAATAGAAACTTTTATTCGTCGTGAAATTGACGCTTGAAATGCGCTTTTGAAGCACCTTTACTTCACTGATTTTCACCTTTAAACGTTCATTCAAAAATATTTTCAGTGTATCTGAAATTTGTATGCCCTTTTAAAAAAAGATTGTGTTAAAGTAAACCACAGACTATAGATTGGAGGAAGTATTTCTGAAGATAAAATGGAGGCGAAGAAAATAAACGGACTAAAAGTCTGAAAAAGGTAAAATTTAACGATAAGTACAATGATTTTTTGATGTTTGATTTATAATATTGTGGCAGTGAAAGAAATATGATTAAATGGGGTTAATATTTTGTAAAATTAAACAATCATGTTTTCGTCATAAGACAAGCACTGTACACTCTAGGAGTTTGGGTTATGATGCTATATGATGTTTAGGCCGTATATCGTGCCTTCATTGATACTGTACTAAGATTAACTTTCTTTAAATACACCCCTTTTGTCAAGTGTAACATACAGTGTACAATAGATAGTCTTAAGACGTTACTTTTGCCGGTACACTTCAGTTGTAAACTTCTGGCATGTTTCTTTAAATAAGGTTTTCTGTCATACATTTTATTGAGTGAATTTAAAAGAAAAAATGGCAGATTGTCTGAAAAATAATAGTAGAAGGGGTTATGTTATATCAACTAGTTTTGAAAGGCTACTTCAAATACAATGGCTGCCACAACGCATGTCACAGATTTTTTTTTATGCAGACTGAAAAAAAACACAATTATTTACACATAATGATATGAATTGGTTTGTGTTCCCGTAGCCCTTCTGTGTTGAGAGCTAAAATTTTCAGTGCAAAATTCAACATGATGGTGAAAAAATTACTACGCTTTTATTTTGTTTTATATGAATTAGATACTCGGAAACTATGTTTAGATCAGTTTTATTTATATCATAAACCCTTTTCTTTCATTATATTGATGAATAAGACTCTAAAAATATTTTTTAGAAAAACAAAGAGTTTAATAAGATTTCAATGAAGAAGGAAATTTTCTTATTATAATGAATAAATAGTACAAACTACTGGATCAATCAGTGACATTGCTGGGGACAAGTATATTCAGGAAAGTAGTAGGTGTCACATTTTAACTGCTATAGAAATTTACCAAGTCAATCTGATCCTGACCAGAATAATATAAAGAAGAAAACTACTTTAATTTCAGTGTTCACTTTGGCTCTTTTGTTGTTATGTGGTATGAAAATTATTTAATATTAAAAATTTATCTTATAGGTGGCTATATAGTCTTTTGTTTGATAACCTTATAAATTTTGCATTCTTCGATCGTGATCTCTAGTATATTTCAGTGAGTTTGAAATAAAAGATACCTCAGAAACTGAAACATTCGTTTCATATTTTGATATTTTACTTAAAAAAAAAACCTTCATTGAATTGTAACAATCAAGCTCTATGATAAACTTATGAATAATTTTACAATTGTCGAATTCCGTTACTTATGCAGCAAAACACTTTTATCGCCTGCTTACAGTTTCTCTATATTTTTGTTAATTCCATAAGCAAGATCATGTTTCACGTATGAACAATTTCTGAATCGATGGAAATTATTGACAAACAAGTTGATGAAGCAAAGAAAATCAACAGTTTCGTTTAAAATCATTTTTGCCTAATATATATGGTTTATACAATGACATTGTAAATGAATTCAATTAATCATTGAGTCTTAGCTGCTAAGTCCAAAGCACCTGATCCATCCTTTGGTATTTTGGAGGTCTGTTGTTTCTCTTATCTAATTTTGTATTGATTTACGCACTTTTGATCTTAAATACTATAAGATTTCCCAATTGATAGAAGTATTTACGTTAATCTGTGCGAAAAACCTTAATGTGAAATCTATTTTGTCAAAACAAAGGCTTATATTAATTAAGATTTGCTGAGAGGGAATTTCTAACTGACCTCATCACATTTTTATTGCTTTAGATTTCTTGTTACCTTTAACTGTTTGTTAACTTCACACTAATTATAATTTCTTTCTTAATTTGTCTTTAAACATAGAACCAAAGATGGCCACCGGAAACTTAACGTTCTTCAGCACGAACCGAACGCTCAGCTTCTTTCCCGCAGCTTCTAACCATTCTAAGTATACTGAAGATACAGAAAATGGCCAACTTACTGAAGGATCCATAGTCGGTATTACTGTCACAGTCATAGGTGTGGTATTTGCAATTTTTACCATTCTGTTTTTGTATCTCTGCTTCAAGAAAAAGAAAAACAACGAAAATGGAGTGAATATTGATGGTAAGTGGGTTTGTTAATTTCTATAATATTTATTTGTTTTAAGGTTGCCGACTATAGTTTTATTGTGTAAAAACTGCAACAGCGAAACTCGTTATTTTATAGCATATATAACTTACATTAACTTTAGTGTACATGCAAAGTTTGGGGGAAATCTACCGTCCAGGTATGTTTGAGAGACCGTCCCAAAATACACGTACGTTTACTGTAGGATTATATAGGAAAATACCAATTTTTAGCACTTTAATGCAATTTACACAAATACCTAAATAGATATTTTGTTCAAACTATAATATTTGATGCGTAATACTATATTATACAATATATGTAAGAGACAGAAAATTCTACCGTCTTGTTACTAGAAGGGCATCTCAAAATGAGAAGATTTGCAAATTTTACTATTTTTATAGAGTATTAAAAAATATGACGTACAATGTACACAGTGGATTCACATGAAAACATAATTAAATATTAGAGATATTCTCAAATTTCTATGTTTTAAACTTTGAGGTAAATCCACGAACCATCATATTTGGCCCTGTGTTTTTCACAAAAATCGAGTTTCTATTCATGGCAGGTATTATACGTTAATTATTAGAGGACAACATACTTCTTTTCCTTACGTAACTCATTTTATTTAATAATGCGCTGTTAGGCACGTGCGATTGTTTGAAGATGCGACGGTTTCACAAAAACGTTAAAAAATGCCGATTTTTCGACAGATTTTCCCAAAATTAAGTGTGGCCACAGTCAAGAACAACTTTCATACTTACCATATGTATAAGTATTGCTGATACAAATCTACACGCTTAATATAATCGTTAATCATAAGTGTGGCCAATATGAAATATGCCTTTACATTTAAATTTTGATGTCGCAAAGATTCACCAGTTTTGTTAAACATTCGGTAATATTTGGTTTATATAACAATAGTTGTATAAAAATTACACACAATATATTAAAAAAATAGTCAGTAGTTCGTTTGAAACGAAATTTGTGGAGAGGCATGATCTTCAATTTATATTATCTGAATTCAAAACTCAAAAAACATATAAGTTACATTTCTCTTCGTCAGTCTTTGAACATGACGTTAAAAGTAATACAAATACGTCAATTGTGACGTCATAAAGACTGTAATTATTTTAGATGGTAATTGATTTTTTTTTTCAAGATGAATCACTTAAACTTTACTCGATATCATTAAATTACATGTATTAAGAGAGGTCTATTTTATTATCTCCAATTTCACCCCCTTTCAATCGCCTGTTTCTTGAAATCTTGAACTTGGATGAGTATATGTCAATTTCAAGTTCCTTATAATATTACGAGAGGTGTTACATATTATAGCCGCAATTTACATACGTATATCAGCCATCGATCTATTTTTCTTTTAAACAAAATCTTTTTAAATAATTTTATGCAGGTGTAGAAAAGTAAATTTTCATACTGCTTCAAAAGCAAAAATCCTATTAATGATCATAGGGGCTTGTCTTCCGGATTATTAAAGGGTAAAATAATTTTTTTTTTTAATTGAATCTTCTTTAAATACACTTAAAAAGTGTTAAAATAAAGATCCTGACACTTTCAGCCAAGAAAAACCACGTTTAAAAAAGACGTACCACACCTATACATAAACTCTATAGCTTTAAAAAGATTCAATTTTTTTTTAAAAATTTATTTTACATTTAATAATCCGGAAGACAAGCCCCTATGTTAATGATGCTGTACGTAGCTTCGCACTGAGGACATCGATGTATGTACATATATGTATACTGTGTATTGATATTTTCATCAATATATATTTCAAACAATTATAATTCCATTTGGTACAAATATAGAATACAGAAATATGTCAGTGCATTGGTGTGTCTTTGAATTCAGTATCGCAACGCCCCTTCGCAATGTGCTTTAAATATTTACCTGTAGGTAATCTATGCTACAGGTCGTCAGTTAGTTGGAGGTAGATGCAAGGGCAAATCTAAAGAAATTATACCTACATAAACAATCGAAAAAAAAATCAATTTTTACCAGTGAAAAAACTGACGAAGTGAAATAAATCTATTCGATAGTGTTTGGAGGGGGGCGTTTTCATTCATAAATACAAACATAAATCAACAGGGTAGGGTAATTTACTTTCTTTATTCTATACAGTGCAGGGAACTAATTTTGTTACATAAACCAGCATCAGGATCAGCATAAGTAGGATCAGGATAGAACTAGCATCAGCATCAGCATTTAAAAAAAACAGCATTACTTGGATCAGCATCAGCAAGCAAAGGATAGAACTAGCATTGACCAAAGTGAAAACAGATAAAGGAAAGGCATTTAATACAAATTACAATTAAAAATTACCCCAAAAATTATTTTAATGGCTTAAAATAGCGATGCTGTTTTTGAATTATCCACTTCCGGCAGGATAATCCTACTTCCGGTAGCATTACTAGCATTGACCTAGTTTCAAACCAGCATCAGGATAAGGATCAAACCAGGATCAGGATAAGGATAACTAGCATCAAAATCAGCAAGCAAAGGAAGCATCAAAATCAGCAAGCATAGGAAGCACCAAAATCAGCATTGATGCTGTAACAAAATTATTTCCCTGCACTGTAATTGTCAAAATATCCCCGGCTGATCAGCAACATTGATTTTGTAATTGTTGCATGGTCGAAAGCGTTCCATATCACAACAGCGGGGGTGATCTTTAATCTTCTTTATTGTTAAAAAAATAATATAGATCTTAAACTGCATAACATATAACTGGCCTTGATCTACACTTGAACGGACTTACATATTCCAGTTTTTGATCAAAAGGGGTATCAAACATTATATAAAATGACAACACTTATTTAAAACATGGGGTGTCCCAGAATATCAGAATTATCTTGTGCATGTAATTTCGTTGCCTTCATAGATCATAATTTTAAAATTGCTAGCTTGGTATTTAGGATGTGTTATTTTCACATTTTTTCTCTCTATCCCCGAGATGATAGCGATTTGATTGAAATTCGTTGAATTGGTAAATTATAAACATTACCTCCTTTGTCTGTGTACCCGGTATTCATCAATGCGCGGATCTAAATGAAGAGACTGGGATTTGCGGAGTTTTAAATACCTATACTAAACTAAGTAAAAGTGACCTTGGATCCCTCCTAGATGACACTGAAACCCTGGAATCTGTGTTGAGTTTGTATAAAAAGTCAAGGTTTTATTTGTATGGAAAACACAATCATCATCGCAAACCACGACCACAATGCCCATACTCTCCTATTCTGGGGAAAAGAGCTGTATGCCGACTCCAGACCGCGTCTTGAGAAGATGGGGGAAACAATCCGAAACATGGGAAAGGAGTTTATGTGGGTTTATTTTGTTTATTTGGGGGTTTCTTTGCTGTTGATTTGTTTTGTTTGTTTGCTTTTTTTTTTTTTTTTGCATGGGAAGAGATTTCTGGCTTGTATATTTTTTGACTGGAAAAAATTCTGGATCCGCGCCTGTCATCTGTTGGCGTTTAAAGAGGTTTAAATAAAGTGGTTATAGATTTGGTAATTAATTTACAGTTTATCTAAACAAGTGCCGTCAAATGTCTTTGACTATGAATCTCGAATGAATTTCCAGTATGCATAGCAATGTACACTACCCAAGAGCTTCTACCGAAGGGATAACACTTGACGATAAAAAACGTGTGCAGGTATTTCGACAAAATTATATCCTTCCATATGTACAGCAAGTCCGAGGGATAATTTTAAACAAAATGTCCATACAATCAAGCATGATACGCAGCAAATACATGTATATACACATGATAATGTTAATTACGCACGACCCTTGTGTTTTGAATAATCGCACAAGTTGCAACGGCTATTAAAACAGCCTTCTGTTGCCTATACTATGATTTTAAGCCCCCCCCCCAAAAAAAAAAAAAAAAAAAAATTGAACACTTAATATTCACTTTTTCGTGACTTTACGGATTAATCAATACTATGGATACAGGTAATATTTACACCGTGAATAATTCCCCCCTATTTTCTCTTAATGTATCATTTTTTTTTTTTTTTTGATTCAACAGGACAATATAACAGTATTTGACACTTTTTTAATCAAAGCAAAAACTAGCTAGCTACATGACATTGTATTTATCTCATGATTCAAAACTTCTTAACGGTCCTATGATAAAATTTCCCAAATTCTTAGGTAGGGTTTATTTTAGTGGATCCCCCTTTCAATAATGTAGATATATTTACCTTCACTTAAATAACGTTAACGTCATACCGTTACAATATACATGCATATATATAACGTCAAAAGTCATGACGTTATACATGTAGATTTTACTTGAAACAATACCATTTTCAAACGACTATAACAAGAAAACTGAAAAAGATATCACTAAAAAATAAATTGTGTTATAACCCACAAAGTCTAACCTATCACAGAGTATTTCATTTATTTTGGGGACAGGGCATATTTTGGCACTTCGTGGCTGTAGCGTATTTGTTACTTTTTCTCAAATAACATTTTTATATCCTCTTATTACCCCTTTTTTAAGAGCTACAGATTATCATAACGTGAAAAACACACTGCAACGATGTCAACGTTAATTTTAATAATTAACCGAAAAAAGTTGCATTAAAACAGTAAATACGCTTTATTTTGCAATGATGCGCGAAATATTGCGCGATGGAAACTATAGTTGGCCCCCTAAATTATACACATGTATATTCAAAGGAAAAGACTAAATGGTTCAGAGGTTTGTTTTTTTTATTTTCGTTTTATGCAATGGCTACATGTAATGTTGACATGATTTGAAAGATTTGTAAATTTTCATCATATTATTCAAACATGTACATGTGTCTGGACAAATATTCCTGATAGTTCAGGCTTTAGTCTTAAAATGAAGACAAGTTCTATAATTTCAGATGAGGAAACATCTTTTATCTCCCCAGAATGCGACTTTGAATTAAACGGAAAAGACAGAAGTTCAGAAGGTACAGGTATTTTTCCTTTACTGTTATTGAAAACTATAACTAACGTATCAAATTCTTTTTAAGGTCAATTCGCACTTTCTTTGTTAAATCCAATTTAAAAAAAATAGGGCAACAGAAAGAAGTTCATGTTGTTCTCAATGGTTTATACACAATGAGTATCATCATGCTAGCTTTAAAGCGTCTACTAGAACAACATGTAACATGTGACAATTATAAATCGAATTAAATTAAGATGAATATATCTAAGTATTCTGAAAGGAAAAAAAAGAAACGCAGTGTAAATTTTTGAGCCGATTAAATTCATTTTTCTGTTAAATATCTTCAGTATTTATATATTACTTTTAAGATGATCTTTAAAGAAACAAGCAAATTCAAAGAATTGTGGTCCCCCGCTTTCGGTTTCTTTGTGGATGAGATGTTATTTTTTATTACATATTGTGTCTAATATGAACATCCTATCATACGTCATTTATGTAGAAATTTTCATTGAAATTGATATTTTTTGAAGATGAAACCCTAATCCTGACCGTTAAAAAGTTATGGCCAAATTAAAAAAGTTTTTTAAAAGTAGGTCAACTCCAAGATCAATTGCAAGATCAAAAGGTCAAATCTATTTTTATTCAATGAAAGTTTTTCTCACAAGGATAATAATGTGAAGTATGAAAGCCCTAGCCCTTACTGTTCAAAAGTTATGGTCAAGGTTAAAGTTTTTTCATAAGTACGTAAATCTTTAAGGTCAAGGTTAAAAGGTCAAAGTTGTTGATATCCAATGAAAGGACTTGCCACAAAGAATACATATATAAAATATAAAAGTCCTAGTATCTACCGTTTAAAAGCTGTGACCAAAGTTAAAGTTTTTTCTAAATAGTAGTTAAAACTCTAATGTCAAGGTCAAAGGGTAAAAGTTGTTGGTATCCAATAAAAGGTCTTCCCAAAAGGATTACATATGTGAAGTACGAAAGCCCTAGCCCTCACCGTTCAAAAGATATGGTCAAGGTTAAAGTTTTATCATAAGTACGTAAATCTCCAAGGTCAAGGTCAAAAGGTCAAGGTTGTTGGTATCAAATTAAATGTCTAGCCACAAGAAATACATATGTGAGATATAAAAGTCCTAGTATCAACTGTTAAAATGTTGTGACCAAGGTTGAAGTTTTTTAAAAGTAGTTTAAACTCCAGGGTCAAGGTCAAAGGGTCAAAGTTATTGGTATCCAATGAAAGGACTTTTCACTAGGATTGCATATGTGAGGTACGAAAGCCTTAGTCCTCACCGTTCAAAAGTTATAGTCAAGGTTAAAGTTTTTTTATAAGTACGTAAATCTCTAAGGTCAAGGTCAAAAGGTCAAGGTTGTTGTTATCCAATGAAAGGTCTTGCCACAAACAATATATATGTGAAATATGAAAGTCCTATTACCTACTATTCAAAAGTTATTGCCAAAGTAAAAGTTTGGAATTTTTGTGTAAAAGTGGGTCAAACTCCAAGGTCAAGGTCAAAAGGTCAAATTTGGTGGTACCCAAAGAAAGGTCTTGTCACAAGGAATACACATGTGAAATATGAAAGTCATAGCTCCACTAAATCAAAAGTTATGGGCAAGGTTAAAGTTTTTGTGACGGACAGACGGACAGACAGACAGACGAATGAGATTTAATGTCCCCTCGCTTTCGCGAAAGCGGGGGACAAAAATGTAAACCACATCTTAATTGATTTTTCTTAAAATTTATGAATTTTTGAAACTCTTAAGACGATACCCCCAAAATCCTCATTATCTTTAATGTTCTTTTTCCGCGCATCTGTCACAACCTTAATTCTCCTTTGTAATCCATCAGGGTATTAATCTTGCTATATTGGCCATGCCGAAAAAATTAGTCAAACGACGCGAGTATACTCTAGGTAGAGGAGCACAAACGTAAAGTTCAAGGCTCAAAAACTCAAATTTCAGAACTGGTTTCTTTTAGTTGTTGGGGCTAAGGTAATGATTATGATATTCTACTGTAGTATCAGAGGGTTTTGTTGTTGTAAGGTGGCGATTCATCAGGGGGCAGGACGAATAACGCGATAGTAAGGTGTCTCTATTTCTCGTTAACATCAATGTCACGGTTGAATTGAAACCATTCCGCGCCGTCTCTGACAACGAATGTCATGCTCTATGGGAGAATTTTTTTTACGAAACTGCTCACTATTGTCTTTGTCTTTACGTAAGCAATTTAAAAATCAAACCATAAAGAACTTCCGTAAATATACCATGACTGCAATACATTCAGTGTTAAAATAATGAACTAACTGTTGATAGGATAAATGTCAGTCAGCATGTAACTCAATGACAAATTTTATTTGCTGACGTCGTTCAAACGGAGAACATACTCTTGCGTATCCAATTAACTGAGATATATAACTACTCAGTATGATGAAGGTATATTGCTGCATAGATAATGGAAGTTACCGTTAGAAATGTTAAAGTCATCACGTTTATCACAGAGCTTGGTTTTAAATTCAATATAATTTTATTCTATGAAACTTACAGCAATAAAATTAATTATATATAAAGGACTGGTATGTAAAAACATTTAATGTTAATTCAAAGTACATAATGGAGTTATTGACCTATTAATTTGATGTGTTGATAAGGAAATAAAGCATGAGACAGAACACAAGGTACTACAGAACAAATGTAGATAACTTAACGTTTCCATAACTTTTTTCTTGAATTCCAGATGAAGAAACAATGATTATGTCCCCAGAATGCAACATAGATTTAAATGGAGAAGGCGGGAATACAGAAGGTGCTTATCCTTTTATGTTTTTTAAATATCAAAATATAGCTCATTTGAAAATGCCGAGGTTACGAAAAGATCTTCTTAAATACATAATATTCAACTTTTCAGGCACATTATTTAAATCATTTTTTGGCGAATTTTAACTTTCTTTAAAAACTACAATCAAAAGAAACCCAGAAAAGGAACAGATAATAATTCCCTTTGTTATCAGTGGTAAATTATATAGTATATTACGTCAATAAGTTATAAACTTTCTACTTCGACAACACGTTTCATTCCTTAACTATAAATTAAAGAACTGTCCGTGCCAGCTCTAGATTCTTGCATACATTTTAAATCCTTTTTATGCAATACAAATGGTTATTAAGCCATGAAATATTTGCAGTTTTTATTGATGAATGAATTTTATACCAGTGCTACCAAATGTTAATACTTACAATGCAATTACTCTGAATTCCAGCTCTTGTAATAAGGAGGGTTGACGATGTATTCCATAGCAGTCGGGATTGGATACATACAGAAGGTGCTTTTCCTTTTATGTTTTTTATTTATATTAAAGATATAGCTAATTCAAATATGTGAAATTATGAGATCATAAATGTACGCTTATGCAATTTCCTTAGTTACATGTATATAACGAGATGTATTATTATCATTGGTATATATAGAGTATTCAAATCATTCACAAATTCAATGATTCTCGTGCACTTTGTTAATTTAAATATCTCTCTATTAAGACAACACGTATAATGCAATGGGTATAAATAAAGAACTATACACGCTAACTCTACATTTGAAACACATTTTTGCAATACTGATGGCAATTAGGCAGTGAGATATTTGTTTAGTGCAACTTTCATTGATAAATAATTTTCATAAACAACAACATATTTTATAATATTCTTGAACATAGATAAAATTCCGATAAATGATCCTTGCATATTTTCTTATGTGCAGTGTACATTGAACTAAACATTATTATCATTGTGATAAGATACAACTTAAAACCTCTTGAAAGTTGATTTTACAATGTTTACCTTTTAAATTTATTGTCTGTAAACACACGTTTTCCCTTGTAAAACACAGAAACATTTTTTTATGAATTTTTAAAATAATGATGCATATTACCCGTAAAAAGGATTTTATTGTTTCAGGGTACATTGTAGGGGAGGGATAATTTCCATTACAATGTACATTCCAATACATAGTTTCCCTTTTCAGTAGATTTCTGTAGTAAAATACAAAAGTTTTGCCAAAATATAATAGTTATCTTTAGTTTCTCTTTCTTTTCCAAAATAAGTGACATGTTATGAAAATTCATTTAAATATCTATATCAACAAAGAAAAAAAGATTTTGAGACCAAAACTTTTAACAATTGACTAAGAAGGTAGGAGAACAATTATATTGTTGGCAGTATTGAGAATAAGATAATGATTGTTTTCAAGTAAGATTTTTAAATTAGCTCCCTTGTGTATAATCAGAATAATAAAGCAAAAAATAAAGAGTCTTGCAAAAGAACTTTCAACGGGAAGATCTCGTTCGCTCTTGTTAAATTCCTGTTTTACATTAAACATTTCTTTTTTTTTTACTGTTAAAGTTTAATGTATAATGTTTAATGTCTAAGTATTCAATAGATAATATGAAGATGATATTTTTTTCTTAGAGAAGTACATTTACATAGCATAAATTTTGAAACACTTTTTTGTATTAAGTATCAGGTGTTTTTTTTTCAAGATAAACGGTGCAATAGTCTAAATAGAATTGAGATATTACATAGTAAATGGGATCAAACATCTTTTAAATAATCATGTTTGGAATGTTAATATAAACTTTTCAAAATGACATATGAATAAAATATATCTGGCTTGAGGGATTAAGTTGGTTGTGGCTGATACATCGTTCAAATTGAATAAAATGTAAAAGCGTTTTCCCACAAAGTAGTAAACATGACGAACAGTTTAGATTCTTTTTGCTAAATTAAATTTCTTTTCTTGTCATAGAAAAAAGTAACATTGTATGATCATGCATTTCAAGTTTCCTGATGATGTCAAATTTAATACAAAAATTATGGTAAAAAAAAAAGCAAGTAAGTGTTCAGTGGTGCACAAATCAAGCGTATCTAACGTCTTTTATGACTTCATATTTCTGCTTCGTTCTTGTTAACGTCCATTTTTTTCAAAGTGGAAAAACGCTCTTGAATAAGGGAATTGTTAAAATTTACTACTTTTTAGCAGATTTAATTTCAGTCGAAATTAAGCAAAAGATAACCTTTATATTTTGTATATATGAAAGAATACACATTGTTTGATGTCTAAACCAGTCTAAAAGTTTTTGGCCAAAGGTCTGCATTTGATTTGAAAATTATTTACAATGCTGTATTTCTTACATGCGTTAATTCTTTTTTGGTACTTTGTATAGAGGAAAACTATCATCTACTCTCATGGCCATTAAAAACAATTTCTCTAAAAGAATGTAATGTCACTTCTGTACACTTTTTCCATCCCTGGTGTATGATAACCATATCCGAACATATCGTTACATCCCCGGGAGCCGGTTTAGCGTTTTTCAATGTCGTTTTCATCCAACTCAATTCACAAAGTACTTTGAAAATCATGTACCCTATCGTCTATTTCTGATGCTATTTATATGAAAATTTAACATGATGTTTAAATTTAATACGGATTTCCCTGATTTAAAATCGAGTTCAATGTTTTACATAGTTTACATGTAGTACTGAAGAAATAGTTATATGCATAAATTATTCCGAATTTTATTCGTGTCCCGAAGGACCATATCGACCTTCGTCTAAATCGTTACAAAAGAAACATAATTATGAATTCACAATTTTAATTTTCATAAAGTAAATACAGAAATCTTCAATGCGCCAAACATATCCCTGATCTCACAAAAGTCATATCAGTCCTGCGGGGCTGATTTGCAACTGTGGGGATCCGGGTTAGAATAGGTCCTCAGTACGCCTTGCTTGTCGTAAAAGGCGACTAAAAGGGGCGGTCTATAGGATGAGACAGTATAAACCGAGGTCCCGTGTCACAGCAGGTGTGGCACGATGGAGATCCCTCCCTGCTCAAAGGTCAAAGTGTCGAGCATAAGCCTAAATTTGCAGCCCTTCACCGGCAATGATGTCTCCATATCAGTGAAATATTCTGGAGAGGGACGTTAAACAGTAAATAATCAATGAATCAATCTGATTGCATCTACGGATCTGATACGGATCAATATAAGCACGTATTATTTTCTCTATATTAGAGATACCATTTATCATGGATATTTTAACTTACCTTGTTGTTTTAATTTCAGACTTTTCATGGGGACCTGGAAATTATTCTCGTTGGAAAACGTGTTTATCAGGTACATTTGAACCTTGTGTAAATTGCACATTTTTCATTGTGGTATTTGTAGAAAATCAAATTTTAATACAGTGGACCTTCAAATATCCGAACGCCAGATATCGGTTGCTTCAGTATCCGGACAATTTTTCATCGGCACAGAATTTTTAAATGTTATTTTGTCTTGTTAAACTGGTGATACGGGTATCCGGACGCTTCACATATTCGGAAAAATTGACTGGGAACCAAAGCGTCCGCATAAATGAGGCTCCGCTGTATATCGCCTTGCAATGGAGTTTGACGGAAAATAGTAAGAAACTTGCATTGCTAGCTTAAGTGTGTCATTTGTACGACGGAAGTGATGAAACTTGCATTGCAATTGATGTTGAATGATGGTCTCACTTAAAGATATGCTTTTCGCGCGAGGATTTTCCGCTTTGCAGTTACCTTGTTCTAATTCGGAATTCTTTTACTTTACATTTCATAGCACCATTGTAAATTAAATGGGGAAGGGTTGTTAATGTAAGTTGAAAAAAAAAACTTATCATAAGGACAGATGATACAAACAAAAAATGGATGCTTGGATTGGTATTTTCTTGTCTTATTTCGTTGAAAATGATGTAAAAAATAAAATTCAAAAATATAAAGAAATTGTAAACCTTATATGTTGTACAAAATTCTACATCTCTGCAACCATCCTTATTAATCTATATAAATATTTTTCTCTTCCAATCCCATTTTTGTGAGATTTTGAATACAATTTCAAAAACTACGCTGTTAAACTTATTCATTTTACTCATAAAAACATGACTAAAGTTGATATTTTCAAATTTTTTGACAAAAGTTTGTTTGAATCATCTGTTCTTAAGTTGCACTCATATCATATCTCTACCTGATAACTAAGTTTTAGATTTGATAAAGGATCAATTGGAGATATGACAATAACATGTATTTTGAGTTCCTATTCGTTTTAACGAAAGTGCTAGATTGGGATATTTGTTTCAATTGCATATCATTAGGCAATTGTAATTGTTAGGCAAATCTTAAACACAGACTTCAACTGTATATAGATAAAAACATATTTTTGCATTGGTTTCTCCTGATTTCCCATTTGCTTATACTAGTTACAATTTATGAGCTTTCGTGCAATATCTGCAAAAATTTTGGGAAAATGATTTTGCGTGTACTTTGCAAAAATCTCTCTTATTTTGTGTTTTTTTTTAACATTGATCATTTATAAAGAGAAAAAAATCCAAATGCTACATGTGCATCTGAAAAAAATCCATTTCCTCAATTATGTTAACAATATGAAATCAATTAGATAACCAAAGTTCATTTCGTACGGCAATATCAATGATCTGTGAAATTGTCCCTTAATTTTTAAATTCTGTTTTCAATAAAGTTATACACTATCGATATAAATACGATTGAATCACAAGTGCTCGAAACGTCAAATAATTTTGGCTTAATATCGTTGTATTAAAATCATTTGGCCAACAAATCTCAATCCCTCTAGTAATGTATTATAATTTTTGCACATTTTGCAATAGATCAAAAGTATATTCCAAAGTAAATAATAAATATTAAAGGGCATTCAAAGCTTTTTGCATAATTATTAGTCCAAGTTTATTTTTAGACGAGTTCCTCACGTTTCCTGATGACGAGATATTCGTGTTATTCTGTTTCCTGTGTGCTGATGCCGGTCCCCCTGACTTTACTGACACAGAGTGGCTGGATATTCTTAATGAGATAAGACACACGGCACACCAAAATAATAAGCCAATAACAAGTAAAGAAGCACAGAGTACCCTGGAAAAACTGAAGGCTCGTGATTTCTTATGGGAAGATCAACACAAAATTACCAAGGACACAAAGAATGAGACTATGTACAGAATAGCATCAATGAATAGTTATATCCCTTTCTATATTAGTGGTTATGACATAGCTAGTTTGTATTTGAGAACAAATGGATACATTAGAAAGACTGGGGAGAAATGTGTCATAAGCGTCAACAATATTTATGATCCATTACTTATAAGCCGCCTACAAATGAG